TTAATTACTTAATTAATTCATCTATTTAATATAAATATTAAAATTAATATTAATTTTTATATTTTTATATTTATTTATGATAAAAAATACTCTTAATATATATAATTAGAGCACATGTTAAAAAATATATTATAAATGACAAGTAAGCAACACAAAGAATTAGAAGGGTGCTCCAAACACATTTTTATAGAAAAAAAAAATTAACTTTTTATAAGAACTTGGGGTTTAAAATTGAAGGTTTTTTTTTTTTTGAAAAAAAAAAAGAAATTAAATAGTTACCTTATCTTATCTCATATTTGTTTTTATTGAACATATGAAAATTGGGGAAGAGAGAGAATAACTACACTAAGACATTATGCTGATAGGCATAGAGTCTTGCACCTCCATCATTGCAACTTACTCAACAAGTAGCTCTTCTCATAATTTTACGTAATAACTATTATCATTGACCATTTTCACTTGACAAGACCATAAATTAAAATGTAGTATTATTTTTTTTTTGCCATAATTTTATCATTTAATGTCACATGGCTACATTCTTATTATTATTAATTTTTCTGAGCAAGAGTAACTTAGAGAGAAGGAAATGTCGTATATATATATATATTTTGATATTAGTTACATAATGAAAGATAATTTTTTTTTTATCCAATTCTACTCGTATGTCATGTAACTCAAATTCATCATATTTTAATTCTAACAAAAGAAAAATTTTTACTAGATTATTTAATTCATTGACGTTGTCTATAATTTAAACATGTAATTCATGAAAGATAATCCTCATGAAACTAAGTGTTTCTATAACTAGATCAAAGTGTAAGGATCATAACATTGTTATCATGAGATCTTATTCAAAGACTCAAATTTTTTTTTTTTTTGAAAACTATGTTAATATTTTGTCAATTCTACCGTTACAGGATATAAGTACCTCCTCCATCCAATTTTTGTTGTTATTCTTTTGAATTTAGGACTTTCAAGCTTTCAAACTCAACTATTTTTTTTTTTAGAGGAAGATATCATTTTTAATATGTTAAATTATAATTTTTTTTCTATCTTTTAATATATTTTTGTTTGTATGTTATGTAATTTTAATTTAAGGTTTTTAAATTAGAAGTAAATTATTATTGAATTATTTATATAATTAACTAATGTGTTTTGTTTTTATTTTATCTTCATTTAAAAAAATTGTAACATGTATTATAAGATATTAGTATTATTAATTAATATTATAAAAAAATAGGTAAAAATATTTTAAAATTATATTATTTTAATAAAATATTATAAAAAATATTAAAATAATATCATTTTTACTTTACTTTAAAAGGTAACTCATTTTAATTTTTAATAAAAACTTATTAAAACATCATATGATGGCTAATAAATATTTTTTTATATTATACTAAGCAAACTTTGTTACATTGATTATAGTTGATTATAAATAAATACTTTAAACATAAAATATAAAAGGATTAG